CCACGTAATTGTCCAACCACTGTTGCGATTCTTTTTGCAATGGTTCTTGTTTTTCTTTCAGGTGAATTTCATTAGATTTATATAGGTGTGTCAAGCTTAGATATTTTCCGCATAAGCGAAGAAATTCGAGGTATTGTCCAGTGATTTTGCGTTCGATTGCTCTTTGAGTCTTAAACTTCCATGTGCTGAAAAAAGGTTCCTTACAAATATGTAATTTATTTGCAAAACAAAAAACAAATTGTGTTTAAGAGATATTAGGATATTAAAAATTTAAAAATATACATTTTAAACATGGAAAATGTGTAAATTTATCCAACATCTTATCACCCTCAAAAAGGGGCAATGAACTCGCCCATTTCTTATCCCTTCGCACATCCTGCCTGACTCATCGAAGACACATGTGCTCCAGCCATTGAAAAAAGCAAAAAATTCTCAGCAAAGGCATATACAAAAATTTGAAACTCACAGCAAAAACACAAATTACGACCTATTTTTCGGTTTTCCCGCCACCACGCACAACAAAAAAATTTGGGGGGATGCCGTTTGGGCGGGATGAGCGACGGTTCGCATAAGGAAAGTCTATAAAAATCCACAAATAAAATGTCATTTGCCTCGAACGTGCCTGGCATCTACTTATAAACTAAATTAAGGATAACATTTGAAAAATTTGCACAAAATAAAATCCAGCCGAAAAGGATCCAGAGAATAGAATAGAACAGGACACGAGTCGCGGACACGATGTCCTGAATGCTTAAGTCGAAAATGTTTCTTACCCCAAAAAGTACACAAAACACGCACATATACACATATACACATATACAATATACATGGAGAAAAGGGAGAGGGACCAAATAAAGGCGGCGAAGAAATAGAAAAACGAAGCTGAGTGAAATAGAAAATATACACAATAATTTAAATTGCTTTACAATGAAACCCTAAAATGTCAATAGAGCGGCGCGCTATTTGCTTTTCCTATTTATTCCGCCCACACCCTGGCATACATTTTAGTATGCAAAGTGCCGTCTTCGCATTGCCCTTCTCCCATCCCTCCGAGAAACACCCTCCTCATTGCCACTTTGTTGGCTTTTTCATTTCATTTGCCAGTGGACGCATTGAAGTAAAGTAGATGATACTGGTAGGGGGCGATAACCCCTGAATAATGGCGCCAAGATCCACAAATATAGGCAAGCATGTCCAAACATTTTTCTGGTAAAATAATTGCTCTCATACTAGATGTTTTTTTTCCAAAAAAAAAAAACTTACAAAAGACAAATGTTCATTAAATTGCAACACTGTCTTTTTTATATTTGCTTCATCGATTGATTTGGTCACACTGAAAATCATCAGCTTAAAACACATTTTTTGTAAAGTAAAATTTATTACACCTTAGATTAAAGTGAAGTGTTTCTTTGTCACTTTGTAAATTAAGTCTTCGAAAATGGGGCTTTTATCATGGTTTCGTACCTGCGTAATCGCCATTTCGCACTCCCTCTAATATTAAATACCCCACAAAAAGAAAACATGCGTGCATTGAGGACTGTAAAATGTGTCTTGACACAGTTTTATTTTCCAATTTTACGTTACCGGTTGTTTGCTGAAAATCCGAAACCCAATTGGAGATGAGAACGACAACCACACAATGTCGGCACGTACGCGTTGTGCTAAATATTTCAACACGATTCAACAAACTACTCACTTAGCCGGCTAAAAAGAAAAGTCTCCTCTCCGATCCGCTCCGCTCCGCTCTGAAAGAAGCTAAAAAGCAGAGCACTGGGCATGACCCGAAAGCATTTGCACTGCATTTAAAAAACATTTGCGGTTTTTACGCTTAATCATCGTCAGCGGGCGGTGGCTTTCAAACGCGGAAAAAGAGGGGCGGGGCGTGTGGTGTGTTTATATATCCCCAGCCGACATCATTTTCTAGCTTGGAATTCCCAGCACGCTTGTATATATTAATAAAAATGCATTAGTTCACATTTATTTTCGACATAAAACGTGTAAAAGTAAGCAAGCCAGTCAGACAGACAGAGCTAGAAATAAAGTTGTGGGGGGAGTTTGGGGCGAAAATAAAGAGACAGACAGGCCAAAGGGATCCCGGGGGGCAGCTTGTAGAAGATTTCACTCACCTAGAGACAGTAGAAAAGCGGCGGGGTCGACCCAGTGGACGGTGGTTGGACTAAGAGAAATTTCTACAAGAAATGTTTTTTTTTTTTTTTTTGCAGACCCAACTCCTTATTTGTATAAAATATCAAAAAGAATTGTCAGAGTGTGACCAGGCTACCTTAAGACTCAGTGTGAACATGCAACTTTAAACTGTAGCCAGTCTTTATTTAACCATGAGATACAAACATTACAAGTTTAATTACAAGAAATTGGAATTCCAATTAAAAATTTAAAAAAAAAATGTACTTAAAAATATGCAACTAAGTTTGAAAACTTATTGTAGAAATTGTAAAAAAACGATAGAAAAGTTGTTAAATACTTCCACATTATTGTTTCTCTGTGTGTCCTGCTACTCATTTAAAGCTCGGCGACTTTTCCTTTTATTTCAACGCTTGAAAGCAAAATAATGTACACGACAACACCACCCCCTTATACTCGCATTTCCACCCACCCCCAACCAAAACATCCGCAGACAAGCAACCAACCTGTGCACTTTCGCTCTCGCTGTGTGTCTCTATGCTGGTCGTAAATTTTAGATATTCGCAGCACGTGCAAATTATGTACAATAATAAAACGGCAATGGCAACGGCAACGGCAGCGGAAAGAAGAATAATCCAGAGCGAAAGTAAGACGAGAATGGGCGCAACTGTTGTGCGGAACTTGTAGCTTTCGAGTTACAACTTGTACCCCCCCATCTCAAAATGTCTATTCCTGTCCTGTCTCGCTGACGACTGACAAGTACATAAAACATGTCTGCGCCTAAAAGTCTGCTGCATTTTCAATGCCCAATGTCCTGTGCTGGATATCGATTGTCTCTCTGTCGGCTACCAACCACACCACCCAACCAAAGACCCTTGTTAAGGGCGCACTTTCACCGCCACTATCACGAACTGGCAACAAGTGATGGAAAGTTTGCACTTCCTGTATTCAGCTCAGCGTAGAAAAGTGTTAAGTAGAGGAGATGAAATCAGCAGTGGTCTAGAAAATTGAATGTGTATAAAAAAAATGCACTAAGGAACCTCAATTCTAATATGCATTCAAAATGTATTTTACTCTTAATAAACTAGTTTAACCCATTTTTATGTAAGCTTTAATTTAATTTTCGCCTGCAATTTGCAGACTTTTATAGCTAGTCGTATTTAAGGGGGAATTAAGGTTTTTTTTTATTTTTTTGTCTTAAATTATTCTAATCTAATAATAATATCTTAAAAATGATTGCTGCCTTTGCCAGACCGTCAATATTTCTCTTTGAAAATATATTAGAATGTTCTTTAAATGTCGTACCATTAATATTTTACAATAAATAAAAAACAAATTAAAACAAATAAAAAAAAAAACAAATTAAACTTATTAAATTCTCTTACATTCCTTAAATTTTATTATGACTATTTATAAAAACTTAAAACATTGACATATACCTTAAAACTAAAAGGAAATATAAGAAATCGGAATTGCTCAAGCAAAGTAAGCAAAAGTTTTTCGGTTATTTATTCATGATTTAGTGGATTTATGGGCGAGACCACTTTGAGGTGTTAAAAGTTGGCCGCTCTTTTTGCTAAGCAATTTCGGCCAGTAGATTATTTCCCCAAACGACCATTGAATTTCTTAAGTCTACTTAGGTGCGGACAATCATTGGATTTGAAGTGCTGTCGTTTTGGTAACCCAATTGCGTCCCCGAGGTGTTGCATAATATTTAACACCCGACGACCCACTGATGGTTATCATTAGCAGGCAAAAGCAGACTCCTCCTCCCTCCACGTTAAAACTTTTTCCCGCATTTTGTCATCCCCGTAGGCATTCTGTTCTGTTTTGTTTTGTTTTTCTTATTTTTTGAAAATTTTATAATTACTTCAATATTTTTGTCTTCCGCAGTTGTCGTGCTGCGGCAGCGTTTTTGTGTTTGCCACACGTTTCATAGCCATAACAAATTACTTAGGTCATCAATTATGAGGTGAGACACTCGCACCTCAAGCGCCGACAACTTCTGGTTCTTGTACGGTTTTGTTTCTGCTTCTGCTTCTGTTTCTGTTTCTGGCTGTTGCTGATGTTGATGCTGATGCTTTTATTGCTTTCATTATGATTTCATGCGGCCTGTGGCACGTTCCGGGTCGCTTTCCATTCTCCGCCCCCTCGGAAAATTCCCCAATTTCCACCGGTTGACGACCATTTGTCTAACTTGAGGTCTTCAGGTATTTGGTGCGGTGCTCTTTTCCGTGGGTGGCTTTTGTTAATAATGTTATCTTTTATTTATAAAGCGTAACTTTTTGTTTTTCGTTTAAAATTTTTTTTTTCGTCGGTTGGGGGTGAATGTAATTGCATTTTGGTGTATGAATAGCACGTTGGGTGATTTTATTTAAGGCGTGGATGTATACAAAAGTGAATGGTGTACTTATATATGTACATCAGACAGATACAACAAATTATTTTGTGAACTCACTATACAAATCCATTAATTTATGCTAGGGCTAGCCGTTGGTAATAAATAACCTAGATTTGCTACCATAACTTGCTATCGAAAATGTTATTAAACACAACTGAATTTGTAATACAAGTTTATCTTTATACCAAACCAGGCAATTCTTTATCTATTTGCTTTGTAATTATACCATATAAATATAGATAATAGAGATGTGGTTCTTCTATAATTTCAACATTTGGTCTTATTTAAAACTATATTTTGTATAATTTGTTTGACTTACCTCTATTGATTTACAATCAAGTTTATTACCCCAATTTTATGTGAGACCTTCAGTTATCGATTCAATTTTTATATATTTCAAACAAATTAAACAACTTTTGCTTAGAGAGAATACAAAATAAATAAATGCCGAGTGGCAGTGAGGCTGGCAGGGCCACGCATAACAAGATTGAGTAGCTAAACAGCCGGTGGTTTTGTTGGTTTCGGTGGTGCTGGTTCCCTGGGTGGTGCACGATAACCGACTTCTTAGGGCTTGTATGTGAAGGCACCACCGCAGTTTTTGTAGCACAAATAGCTGGGACGAGTGCGCCATTTCCGGCAATATCTGCGATAGCAATTGTTGGGACTGGGCGATGGTGGGCGGTTGGTGGGTGGCTGAACGGTGGGTGGTCCATTGGTGGGTGGCTCATTTGTGGGTGGCCTATTGGTAGGTGGTTGATTGGTAGGTGGTTGATTGGTAGGAGGTTGATTGGTAGGTGGCTCGTTAGTTGGTGGGCCATAGGTGGGCGGTTGATCCGTAGGAGGTTGAACAGTAGGAGGTTGCACGGTTGGAGGTTGCACTGTAGGAGGTTGAACCGTAGGAGGTTGCACTGTAGGAGGTTGCACTGTAGGAGGTTGAACCGTAGGAGGTTGCACTGTAGGAGGTTGCACCGTTGGAGGCTGAGCCGTTGTGGTGGTGGTGTTGCCGCTGCAGTCATTGGCCACAGTGGTGATCAAGTGGCTCAACAAATCCACCAGTAGCAACACACTCAAATCCACATCGACCACCTGAACAATATCATTATTATTGCCAATTATTTCTGTGCCGGGCCCAGCTGAAATTATAATAAAAATGCATTCAAAATAAGACAACATTCTACAGGAGAATAGGATATTAACTTACTGTTGACCTGGTTGCAAACGCCTCCACTTCCTCGGATTATGTTGAGTACATCCAGGAAGGCCAAAACCCACAAGTCAACGTTAATCAGTTTCACTATACGATTATTGTCACCAATAACAACCGTCTTGGGACCCCCTGCGAAAATAAATAATAGATTGATTAATAAGATTTATAAAGCGAAACAAGCTTTGCAAACTTACTGTTAAGTGAGTTGCCAGTAAGGCCTCCAAGACCTAAGATTTGAGTTACCACTGATAGTAAGGGAATGAGGGCGAGGACGTTTCCATTGACGTCCACCAATTTAACCACATTATTGTCGTTGCCGACGACCGAAGTTTCGGGACCGCTGACAGCGTTGTTTCCAATGCCGCCTCCACCGCCGCTTGAAGAACTGCCTCCCAAAATGTTGGTAACAGCGCCTAGAGGACTACCAGATCCGCCTGATGGGCTGCCAGTTAAACCACCCACGAGGCCACCTACGGTGCCAAGGACGGTGTTAAGGACCGGCGGGACGACAGTGACAACGGTTTGAAGAAGGCCTCCAACGGGTGCAAGAAGACCACTTCCACCTGATCCTGATTTTGTTGCATCGCCTACTATGGGTACACTGTGTGTAAGGCTATCTACTAATCCACTTGAGCCTGATCCTACTAAGGGCAAGCCTCCCGTGAGGCCACCTAATCCGGATAATGGGCTTGCTCCTACTAAGGGTAAGCCTCCCGTGAGGCCACCCAATCCGGATAGTGGGCTTGATGAGGAACCACTTGAACCACTTGAGCCACCAGGGAGGCCACCGGTTTTCGTAAGACTGGAAAGCGCCGATAGAGCCACCAAAACGGGAGCATTGACGTCTGCAACTTTTGTAACAGTATTATTGTCACCTTTAATGCGTAGCCTCGATTGTTCTAAAAAAAAAAACAAAAAACAAATTAAGTTTAAAAAATCTCCAATAGAGATAACTACTCACGGTTGAGATTATTTGAAAAGCCGCTTCCATCTATCTGGCTTAGAGCCGGGACATTAGCTAATGCAGCAATGTTGGCATCAACGAGACTGTTAAGCGTGTTATTGCTACCATCGATGTCAACATCGGGGCCAACTATAAGAAAAATTGAGTCAATTTGTAATTTACCATGAGCGGAAGAATACAAATTGCCTTACTATTTGCATTATTTCCCACAAAGGTGCCTGCATTAGAGCCGTTTGAAGAACCACCTGAAGAGCCAGCAGAAGAAACACTGGAAGATCCACCCGCAGAAGAACCCTGATTGCTCAAGATACTAAAAACATTAGCGGCCTGATCGAGTGGGAGTCCAAGATTTACAAGTTTTTCCATAAAACTCGCGGAGTTACCACCTTGTACTGAAATGAAGAAATACGATGGAGAAATAAAAAATATATTAGTTACAAAATAACGCAGAGGATCCAGAAGATCCTGATTTGGTCGACGAACCCGTAGAGCCTGTAGATCCCGACCCGTTGGATGGACTCGAAGAAGAGGAACCCGAAGAGCTTCCACCATTATTAGTAGATAACACTGAAGCACCCACTTGAGCGGGAACTTTCGCCACAACTGCACGGTTAAGTTGGTTTCCTGATCCAACGACTAGGACATTAGGTTTCTCTGTACGAAATAATAAATAAATTAATTAAAAAATAACTAAACAAACGATAGATTTTGTCGCCACTTACCATTCAGAACGTTGCCTTGAGAACCAGTATTCGTACTTAAAATGCTGGCGCCAACTTGAGCAGGCACTTTAGCGTCAACAAGCCCATTTAGTGCATTATCGTTGCCCATAAAGACGATATCGCTTCCCACTATTGTATTAAATAAACCAAATTAAAATAAAACGAATTGGGCAAAAATTATAAAAACTTACAGTTTTCAATATTACCGGATGGACTCGAAGAAGAGCTTCCACCAATATTATTAGATAACACTGAAGCACCTACTTGAGCGGGAACTTTCGCCAGAACTGCGCGGTTAATTTCGTTTCTTGATCCAACGACAAGGGCATTAGGTCTCTCTGCACGGGATGATAAAAAATAAATTAAAAAATTACTAAACAAATGACAGATTTTGCCGCCACTTACCATTCAGAACGTTGCCTTGAGAACCAGAATTCGTACTTAAAACGCTGGCGCCAACTTGAGCAGGCACTTTAGCGTCAACAAGCCCATTTAGTGCGTTATCGTTGCCCATAAAGACGATATCACTTGCCACTATTGTATTAAATAAAACAAATTAAAAAAAAAAAACGAGTTGAACAAAAATTATAAAAACTTACAGTTTTCAATATTACCGGAACCCGCTGCAAAAAAAAAAAAAAAAATGGAAGGATGTAAGTTATATTGAACAATTAAAATTCAAATCTTTCGCTTACTCTCTCGCTTTGCAGTGGCCGCTGTTTTTGGTCCAACCATGGATGGGGTATTTGTTAAGTCACCGCCATTTACGCTGTTAAGTGCCGCGGCATTGGCCAGTTCAGCGGATGTGGAGGTCTGCATTGTACGATCGAGGGCAGTCATCAGGCCCATTAGCACCGGCTTGTCCACGCCCATGGCCAGCAGGCGAACGATCCAACTTTCGGGGGCGGCGGAGCACAAACCGCTCGTTTTGCCCTCGGCAATGGTGGACAAACTGTCAAGCAGCGATATGGATAGCATGCTAAAGGCGTTCACTTGCAGCAGACTGACGGAATCGGGACCCACTGAAAGGATAATGAAAGCATACAAATTAATAGTATGTTTAAACCATTTCTTCTTATACATTTTCTTGATGCTCCGCATTCGATTCGTTCCAATTCTGTTGGTTATTTTTCCTGTTGTTGCTTTACTTTACTTTTAATATTAATTATCGTTTAGTCTTAATTTTTTTTTGTTTTCATTTTTTACTCGCCACTCGTTAACGTTTCTCGTTAAACTTATTTTTGTTTACCAATACTTCCGTACTAGGATTCATTACTCGATACTGTTTGAGAGTCAGTAAACGTTCTCATTACTCGCTACTTGTTACTCGTTGATTTAACACCAACGCTATATGATATTAGCTTGTCGTTACCGCTTATTTAAAAGGGAGTACTAATTTTATATCAAAGGCAACTACATATATACTCACTCTCTCGCAAATTCCGTATGATCTTGTGCGCCTCACCACTCGACGCTCCGCACACCTGCAGCAAAGTGTTCAGGATGGCGGTCAGTTCGGTGATATTGCGTGCCTGCAGGAACTTTAGCACCTTGGCGCGATCGTCCTTGACATCAGCCACCTTGCGGGCGGTACGAAGTCCCGATCCCTCTGTCTGCTGATGATCTTCGACGACCTTGGTCTGCTCTCGCCGACGCGTGTGGGTGTTCTTGATCACCTGACCCACCTCCTCCTTGGCGCACTCGATGCCATTGAAGAAGCACAGAGCCAAAAATGACTTTAGTGTTAGAGTGAGGCTATTCCTGTCCTGCGACTGGTCAATATCCTGGATAATGCGACTACACGTAGCATTGTTACGAGCTCCGACGAGTATATCAATAATCACATCCATGCCAATTTCCAGGAACACATTATGACCCTTCGTGTCCTTGCTCTCATTGCTGCGAAGTGATTTCATTGTGGATTCCTGGATGGAAGTCAGCTTGGCGCCACGTGCCTGCATGCTGGCCAAAAGCAAATCGGCCAGATCCTTGGAAGCCAAGCGTCCGATATTGGTGACACGTGTGGTGGTTTTTGGTGACGCTTCGGTACTTGTCGTGGTCTGATCCGTTGTGCTGGCAATAGTACTACTACTAGTACTAGTACTTGTACTACTACTAGTACTACTACTAGTACTGCTACTAGTACTGCTACTAGTACTGCTACTAGTACTGCTACTAGTACTACTACTAGTACTACTGCTACTACTTAATTCCGTTTCCAGGAGTAACGATGCCAGTGTTGTGGTGGAAAATCCAACCGTAGATCGCTTCGTGGGCTTGGCATCGTGTGGCACCAGAAAACATGATGACAGGAGTAAGAACAAATGCAGTCGCCACATCTCGATAGTTGTTTCCACAAACTTGACTTGTCGGTGATTGATAGATTTCGCCCCAATTCAGAGCTCTTTTATACGACTTTCGCCCCGCTTATCGTCATGTAAACCCAGCGAGAGATAACCGTTCTGGCATTCTGTAAAACGTGCTTCCCCGCCATCAATACCAAAAATCTTTGTCTCGATATAGTTGAGGAATTCTTTCTGCATGCTCCGACGCAAACTACTTATCTCTTGCGGGTAATGAGTGGGCTCAGAACTTGGCTTTAAACTGAGGAAATCAGGGCTAAAGCGGTGTGTGTTAAAGATTACGATCGATTTTGGTTTGGATCTCTGAGCGGGGAAGTAAGCTTACAAATCAAATTTAGATCAGTTTAATCTAGTCTCTTTGGGGCTTAAGTTGGGCAAATCAGGTTTCTCCTTAAACTTCTGCTACAACTAATATAAATTTCATCCGTATCGTTGCTTGAATTTTAAGCTTAATAAATCAACAAATAATTTCGAAAATTACGTCTTATCATTATTTAAAATTCTAAGATTATGATATATCTCATAGATTTTAGAGTAATTAAAGTCTGTATTAAGATAGTTTCTTGCAGCTTCCAGAATTCCATGAAATTTCGAACACGAAGAATTAACTTTAACTATGTATTCATTCATGGCAAAATTTTTCATTGACTTGAAAAGCCACAAAAGCACTGATGATTAATATAAAGAAATTGCTTGAAATGTCTCGGAGAAATTGTCACTCTTCAGCTTTAATGATAGATTAGCCAAGTGTGACCCATTTGGTCGAAAGTCCAATGAGCTATCTAATTTATTTTTTGGGGGTGTTGGCACGTAACATCTGTTCTCCGAAATTTCCGCATAGAGATACTCAATAAATGAATTTGTATAAATGCAGAATAGCGGTCAGCAAATGTGTGCAGTTTCTCAAGTACTAAGAACAATTAACTTGAACAAAATGGATCAACGCTTTGTGTGTATTTTGATTATTTCCTTCATAGGAAATAGCATTTTGGGGATTTCGGAGGCGCAAACCTTTACTGCCGAGGATCGCAGCTCTATACAGAAGTTTATGGATCAATTAATTAATTTCCTTGAATTGGAATCCAGTAATGTTACCACAATTAGCACATTAGCACCTTCTTCTAACGAAACCAGCGTGGGGACTACCACATTGCCATCAGGAAATTCCACAGATGTAACAACAGAAGTTTCGGAAGCAACGAGCATTTTGGATAGCTCCAGCACCATCAGTTTAAACTCCACAACGGTGGCTAATGTCTCCACAACCACTGAATCCAATCCAACGACCGTGAGACGAAGGATTTGCTTCAAGCGTTTCTGCTATAAATTCAGCAACGATAAGGGATATATAGTTTAGTTTCAATAAAATCATAGATATCGAACTGTTTTTCTTTTCAATTCCTGGGTGTTATTTCTCAATTTTTGAGTAGACTATTGTAAATCTATGGTTACTCTTATATCCTTAAATGTTACATTAATTTTGGCAAAAACAAATAAAATCAATTCAAATAAACCTTTGGGCATTGATTTACCCTTGGCATTTGGTAATCACCATAAATATGTAATTGAAAAGACCATTATTGTTTTAGCCAATGCCTGCAGAGATCGCCAAAAGTACATTCCGTGTGTATATAAAGCAAATGTTTCGCATTTCTACGCCAAAGTTAAAGTCTCTTTTGCCCCCATTGCCTTTGCCCTTAACAAATTATTTCAATTATAAGTTTTTGAGCAAAGCACTTAATGCCAACACAAGTTGCGGCGTTTATGTGCGCAAATCTTAATTGTGCCGAAAATACAAGAAATAAATTTGTATTCTCAACCAGCGAATGTGTATGTCTGTATGCCGTATGCCTGATGGAAAAGACCAACTCAAACTGACACAAGCTTTGTGGCTTTTCATTGAGTTGTAAACAAATGAAATTTAATTCGTGCAAAGATTTACTTGAATTTGTTGTGCAAATGGTTAAATGTGAATAATGTCAACGATGGATGCCGCATCGTCAACAGGGATTCCCCTTCCTCATCGGCTTTCACAGATATATATTTGCATCTGTTCAATGTCCCTTATTGCCAAATGACAGAAATAATCTCAATAGATTAGAATAGAAATGCAAAATAGTAGTATATTAAAATAGTAATCTGGTACGAATATTAGATTTTAAATAGTAACTATTTGATTTAAAAACATTTTAAGTTAAATAGGGTTTATACAAAATTAAAACTAAATTTTCAAATATTGAAATCAAATCCCAAAATAGTCAATTTAACAATTTGAATATTTACATATTTAAATTAAATTAAATTAAATTAAAAAATATTTTGATTTACTATTTAAGTGTTATTTTAGATACACACTAAATATAATTTTAGAAAATACTGATAATATTAATATAGCGTTTTGAAAATTACCTATTTATAATAGTTATACTATTTGAAATTTAACTTAAACATTGTTGCCTTTTAAAAAAAACAGATAAGTTAATTGATTTTTTCACAGTCTTGGGCTTCTGTGTGTGTTTGTGTGTGTGTGTGTGAACGGAAGGTATGTGTGTGGGTGTTTCCTTCGGCTATCCTGCGAACTTTTTTGTTGGGCTTCATCAAGCCACGTGCCAGTGTCATTTAATTACTGACTATATTGTTATTATGGCTTACCCCCATATATATACGTATGTATATATATATATTTATATTTATATATATGCGCGTCAACAACTTAACATAGTTATCACCACACACAGAAAATGAGAGGGAGTGAGATGGGAGATAGAGCAAGGGAGATGGGGAACATCACGCACACCATGGCAGCGGATTAAGCGACCGCCGCGTGAAGCACTTTAAATTAGTTTCGTTGCATAAACAAGAAGCAACAGCCTGTACAAAAACTGCTGCCAATTTAGCTATTTTGTACTATACATATTTGTATTTTCGTTTAAAAATTTACGGAACTTTTTTGTTATCTTAAGTTATATTTTTAAAGGCTTAGCGCAGAATGATATTTACCTTAATTATTATTTTTATTGCATTGTGCTTGTTTGAGATTTGTTTCTTCTATTTATCTTTTTTTTATCAACAAGGTCTTGTCCAATTTTCTACTTAAATTGTTTACATTTTTTTTACCACTTTAATTTGAATACATATATTTTTAAGGTTTTTTTTATGATTACAGTTTATTTTTTTTTAAATTTAATTTAATAAAAAGGTGAAAGTTCTTCAAGATACTGTGGGATAATAATAATATTAATGAGTAGTACTAGCTGTTTTAGCTACTCTTCATAATGACTGACATCACTGGTGTCGTTTGGGGGATGTCGGGAGATAGGAACGAATGGATGGCTGGACGGATAGAGACGGCTGTCCGCAGCTTTAAAGACAATCCTCGCGATGAGCTTATCAACCATCAACCACCATTCCCAATCTCCCCCTGGATTTAGTTTGTTTGTGTCACTTTCTGGACGAAAAAACATATCCAATTACAATTTAATTAAGCTGATTTGAATGCGGCTGTGTGACGTTAGTTGAAAGTAAACGCCACGAATGCAAAACGGAAACAGATGGAGCGATATACCACACAAATGGAACTATAAACTATAATTGGAATCCAAACGAATATCTAAATGGAATCTATTTGTTGTTGCCTCCTTTTGTGCTGCTGCCTTTGAACCGCTCAATCTAAATTATTTATTGCATACTCAATGGCGACAAGTTGAAATTCGTAGGAACAGTTTTAAATGAGAACAGAATTCAATGAGATTAGTTTTTAGGAACTTACCCTTAAATTGATTATATTTTAATCCCTCAAAATCACATTACATTCAAAATATAAACTAAATACTAAACTATTTACGTAATTATTATTAAACTACTATACAAATAATGAATTCATGCTATAAAATCGCATTGCCACAATTTACCCTAAATATCTTTTAAGCAAATTTGTAAAATGTTTCCCCTTTTGTTCCCCTTTTTTTTTTAGCATTGTATTCTTTTTGATGGGGTTGCCACGCGCTGCAGCGACACTTGACCCACCGAGTGACCCCAGTGATTATCGATGAAAGTGTTGTTCTGGTTTGCAATTTCACAGGCTGAGCACGCTCCATTTTGGCCCACTCCACCATTGACCGTTTTACTCCTTTGTTCCACGACGGCTTGGCATTGAGGGGTCAGGGGTTGGACAGCAGTGGTGACTGTACTTTCGTCACAATTCTGTCAGCCTCAAGTCGTTCGCTCTCGAGACAGTTTGCTTTTCTGGTCTAGGGCAGCAAAGACAATTAACCACTACACAGAAAAGAACAACCTTCCAAAAAATTGCCTAATGAGCAGCCAAAATAATATTAGGCACACTAAAAAAAAAATTTAATATGCGAAAAATAAAATTCAATATTTAAAACATTTATTTTACTTTGTAATATATTTAAATCTTAAAATCAAATCAAATTAATTATCCTTTTTTTTAATTTGTTTAAAATGTTAAGTAGTGTGAGCATGCTACAAAATGCTAGGGTAATTGCTTAGCTAGATTAAATTCACTTTATTAACCATGATTAACATTTTTTATTAAGAATCTTTGTACACTTATTTTGTTTCTGTGTAAGGCCCTAAAGTGCGATGGCGCAAGACCATCGAAAGACTTAGACGAAAAACCCAACTACGATTAAAAATGAATGCTAATCGCATTAGGGCAATAAGGCGATGATGCAATAATCATGTAGCAAGTGCATTTCTGGATCGAACCTGAGGACATATGTATAAGCCGGGGCTGGCAGATTACAAGCTGCCAATCCACTTGTGCCACATGGTTCATTGTTCGAGGGTTGCCCGTGTTTCCCTTTTTGTACTCATTTCTTTTTTTTTTTTTTTTTTTTTTTTCCACCATCAAGTCCATTGTCCAGGACACGTTTTTGGGTGAAACCTAATCCGCTTTGCGCACAAGTGAGTGATGAGCTATGGGACAATAAACGATCCCGAAAACCGATCATGACGGATGACGACAGGGTACAATATGCTACAAGAACTTTATTGGGTGATAATGATTACCAAGCAAAATGGAAACAACGGTGCCCATGGTCCTTGCAAAAATTCATGTAAGTTCAATACTTTCGTAATGCTTCCAACTAAAAGTTGTCATCGTTGCTCTTGGCTGTTGGATTATCATCGGGCACGCTAGCTCCATTGTTGGTATTCCCTGTATCATCATCCCGATTATGAAAGTCCTCCAAAAGATCAAGTTCCACTCGAATTTATGATGAGACACCTCTTCTTCAAAATAGTAGTCACCGGGAAAAGCGTCGAGTGAGTATTTCTGAATTTCGTATTTAGATTTAGATCTTGATTTTTGATTGTAAAAGTATATATGCCAGCTTGATTTTATAAAACATATTACTAAAAGCAGAATTTGTTATTAATATTTGTTGATGGTATCATGTTTTAAATAATTAATATGTTTTTAACTTTACCAATTGAAATGACCAGCTCTTCCAATTTGTTAAACATAATATGACTGTAGTTATTTTGAATTTTTCTTCATGGTTATTAATATAAATGCTTAGAAAGCTTAAATTTTTGTTTAAAGCAAAGGCAAATCAATTGCAAGTGAATTAAAATAATATCTTTGGAATGTATTAGATAAAATACTTCCGTAATGCTTCCAACTAAAATTGGTCATCGCAGCTCTCGACTGTTGGATAAAAATATATATAAGTTGGATACTTCCGTAATGCTTCCAACTCACAGTTGTCATCGCTGCTCTCGACTGGTGGATTCTCTTCGGGCTCGCTAACTTCTTCGAAGAAATTAAGGTGTTCATCATCCCAATTATCAAAGTCCTCCAATTCGGCAAAAAAGATCAAGTTCAACTGGATTATATGACGAGAAACTTCTTCGTCAAAATCGTTGTCATCGGGAAGAACATCGAGTGAGTATTTCTGCATTTCGAAATTCGTATAATCGTGAACTATTTCGTTTCGTAATGATTAAGGGCTTTAGATTTTTGACAATGAGAATCAAAGCCAACTAAATAATCAAATTTTTGACAATGAGAATCAAAGCCAACTAAATAATCAAATTTTTGACAATCAGAATCAAAGCCAACTTGATAATCAAATTAATAATTATTATATACGGTAACTGGTTTACATATTGCATATATTATGTTTTAGACATATTTAAAATGTAAAAATTACAATCTCTCTACTAAGTTTTTTTTTAAAGAATGTTGATTTTGACTTCCTTAAACTATTTTGCCTATCGGCATTATAAATTCTGTACCTCTTCACTGTGATCCTTTGGTGTATTTTTGGAAATAGCATATCTGTCACTAAAACCGATTATCGGAAACGGAAGAGGCCAATTCAAACAGAGCCGAATGGTTCTGGGTTTCACATAT